CGCCAGGGGCAGACTCCTCACACGCAGGAAGTGATAGCCGAGCGGGCAGGGCTGTGGATGGGCACTGATGGCTCTCCTCCTGTTTCCCTGCAGATCATCTTTCTGTCCAAAGGCAGAGATGCCATGCAGTCCTTCATGATGCCATTTTATCTGATGAAGGACTGTGAGATCAAGCAGCCCGTGTTTGGTGCAAATTACATCAAGGGAACAGTGAAGGCTGAAGCAGGAGGTGGGTGATGGGGTTCAGGGACACAGGTGGGGCTTCCAGAGCAGTGCTCTGGCTGCGCCTCTGCTGTCTTGGGAGACCTCCTCTTTGGCTGTCTTTTTTTTTTTTTTAAGATTTTATTTATTCGTTTGAGAGAGAGCACGCACAGACAGGGGGATCAGTAGAAGGAAAGGGAGAAACAGGCTCCCTGCCCAGCCAGAAGCCTGACTTGGGGCTCAATCCCAGGACCCTGAAATCATGACCCAAGCTGAAGGCAGATGCTCAACCGGCTGAGCCACGCGGGCGCCCCAGTCTTCGGCTGTCTTAATCAGCCCCAGCCTTGTCCTCTTCCTGGCTCTGGATTAGCTCCCACGACCCCCCGCCAGGGCTGCCCGCTGTCGAGCAGAGGTGGGCCTTTGAATGACAAGAGCTAGGAGAGGCTGACATTGAAGGTAGCAGCTCGTCTCACCTTGTCAGAGTGAGATCAGCCAGGTGACTTGAAAAAATAAGTAAAAATGATCATCGTGACCTGGGGAGTGTGTTCACATTTTAGGTATGGGAAGACCTGTGTCAGGGCTTGGGAATGACCTTTTCCCTAAGGTCAGGAAGAGCCAGCTGCCTCTCTCCTGCCTGGAGGTGCCTTGGTTTGTGGCGGGCAGGAGACACCAGAGACCTCTGTGTTGAACTTGGCCTCCCCCTCCCACCCAGCCAGGTTGAGTCTTGCTCTCTAGGGGCTCACAGGTCCCCTCGGGCAGAAGCCAGGCTAGAGAGGCCAGGGGTCCATCCTTAGGCCCCTCAGGAGGGATCTGCTCTGAACTTGCATGTCTCTTCTCCCGAGCTGTTTGTTGATGGCCCTGTTCCCCTCACAGGTGGCTGGGAAGGTGCTGCGTCCTACAAGTTGACCTTTACAGCAGGGGGCGCCATCGAGTTTGGACAACGGATGCTGCAGGTGGCATCTCAAGGTATCAGCGCTCTGAAAGTTTGGGGCGAAGACATATTTAAATGTGTGGGTTTTAATTTGTTCGTTTGAGTTTGTTCACTTTTTGTTTGTTTTTTTTTTTAAGCACTCGAGAGATAAGTCTCTGGGCCCCGGGCCGACGGGGCTGGGAATTGGGAAGGAAACTTGTCACTAGCATCACTCTGGCCTGAACCTTAAAGGCCAGGTGTACCCGGCCTGGAGCCTGTATGGGACATTGGGACAAAACTCTTGGGACTCCAGGACGTTTTATTGCGGCCTCATAAAAACAGGAAACCCAACCACTAAGCTCCCGTACAACAGTTTAAAGTTCAGCAGACATCCCCGTGTTGTCCCCAGCTCACCCCAGCCGCGTCTGGGACCCCATCCCCGAGCCTCCCTCTTTGTCTGTGTCCATCCGTCTGTCTGTCTACCCTGTCCTGGCCCTGGCCTGTGTCCCCATCCAGATCCCTCACTTCCTCCCGGACCGAGGCCGGCTCTAGCGTGGGTGGGGAGTGGAATGGGGCGGGGTGAGGCGTGTCTGCTCTGCACATTCCCGGACCGTGCAGCCCCCCTCGCTAGGCGACACTCACTTCTCTCTCCCCTTGTACTTATTTGTAGCCTCCCGAGGCGAAGCCCCCAATGGAGCCTATGGGTATTCCCACGTGCCCGGCGGGGCCTATGTCTTTCCCCCGCCGGTCGCCAATGGAATGTACCCCTGCCCTCCTGGCTACCCCTACCCACCGCCCCCGCCTGGTGAGTGTGTCCTTCGCTGCCCAGCCCTCACCCTGCCCACCCAGGCCAGGGGGTTGCCGAGGGGAGACTTCAGGACGGACAGAGGAGCTGGAGAGGCCCGGGAGGTGCCTGCTGAGGGAGCCGGGGCTGGCTTGCTCACTGGGTCCCTTTCTCTCTCTCGCTGAGCAGAGTTCTATCCGGGACCGCCCATGATGGACGGGGCCATGGGGTATGTGCAGCCTCCCCCACCGCCCTACCCTGGGCCTATGGAACCTCCTGTCAGCGGCCCTGATGTCCCCTCCACGCCTGCAGGTGAGACCCTGGGCCGCTCCTCTCCAGGGCTGCACGGAGAGCTACAGAGAATGGCTGGAGGTTGGCTGGGAGCCCCAGGTGGTGAATGAGCCCTGCCCTTGGCCTAGTCCAGGAGACCGACAGTGTGGTGGCTGCTTCTGGAGATCTGGACTGCACCCCCACTCTCTCCCCCAGCTAGCCAGGTGGTGCCCTGGGGCAGGGAAGGTCTCCCTCTGTCGGTCTGGTCATCCGCCACCGGAAGGTGGCAGCGTGCCCTGGGCGGGATCGTGGGGAGGATCGGGTCAGGAGCGAGGGCTCGGAAGGAGCTGGAAGGAATCGGGTAGCGCCAGCCGTCGGGAGCGGGACCTGGTGGGAATCTCTCCCCGCTGGGGCTGACACCGAGTGTGTTTGTTCTCGAAGCTGAAGCCAAGGCTGCGGAGGCGGCGGCCAGCGCCTACTACAACCCGGGCAACCCGCACAACGTCTACATGCCCACGGTGAGCGGGCGCCGGGCGCGGGCCGGCAGTGTGCAGGGCTCGGGGGCGGGGAGACCTTGTCTTGTCAAGAACCTTCTAATTGTTCTAATTGAGATCTTTCTTCCTTCCTTCCTTAGAACCAGCCTCCGCCACCTCCTTACTACCCCCCAGAAGATAAGAAGACCCAGTAGACCCCTCCTGCCCCTGCCTCCCACCCCTCATCCCTCTTCCCTTCCCCTTGGGGCTGAGACTGGGGCTGGGGGTGAGGGAAGGGCCTTGTTCTTCCTCCAGGTCTGATTATAAACCACTTCCCAGGAACTGGTGTTGAGGGAAGGGGGGGCCCTTGACGCGGGAGCCGTGCCTCCCCGCTTCTAGCTCGGAGCCCACGGCACTGCTCGGAACGCTTCCCTCTCGCTGTCTCCGGAGCTCTGCTCAGAGCCCCGGCCTCCATCTCATTCCTATCTTGCTCTAGTAGCTTCTGCCCACAGAGGGACTCTCTGGCCACCTCCTCTTCCGCAGTCCAGCTCCCTCGTTTTGGAATCCACTTTCTACTCTGCCTTGTGAACTCCCTCACACCAGCCTCACGTCTTCCTGGGGGCCCCCGCCGGGCCCCCCCACATTCCCTCCGCTCCGGCCTGTGCCTCACCATGGAAGGCCACCTTCCCGCCGGACTGTCAGCCCACATTCCGATCCCAGCCAGCCTCCAGCCCGGTCACGCTCACCTTCCCCTCCCTGTCCTGTCCTTGGTCACCTTTTGCCCCCACTTTGACCTGGGGAGCTTCCATGTGAGCGTCCAAGGGGTGGGCGGCGTCAGGCCGGGCCACTGCTTCCCTTCGGATACATTAGGCTTTTGTTGCCCTCTGCCTTCTCTCTTTTCCCTCTAGAAGGGGCTTCTCGGACTGGAACTGGAGAATGCATGTTCATTCCATCATGCCACTTGGGGGCAGCTGGGTGGGCTGGAACAGAGGTCCCTGACCCTGGGGCCTGGCCTGAGCCGGTGTGCTGACTGTGACCTCTCACCAGCCCCTCCCCCTGCCCTCTTCCTTTTAAGCTTCATGCCTAACAGGTGATATGCCCCCTGGATGCACTAATATTTGCTCTTCGTTTGCTTCTGGACTGGCCGTGAAGTGAGGAGATGGTTATTTAATGAGAATTCCCTATTTATTTGACGAAAAACAAAAACAAAAAACCTAGTTAATATATTAATGTTAAATAAACCCTCTTTGCACCTTGATTTGTTTGCTGAAAATGTGAAGTAGTAAAAATGCAGTGACTGGACCCTTTCTGGCTCTGTGTGTGGTGACCAGTGGGAGCTCTTGGGAAAAGAGACTGGTCTGGCTGCTGAGGGCCCTGGGGGGGCTTTGGGGAGACCGTACCCTTCCCGTGCAAGAGCCCCTTGTTCCCACAGCACTCCGAGGCCTGCCCAGGCCGGGAAGGCCTCCCACTGTTCCATGGTGGTTATTCAGCAACTTGGCCTACCTGGGGGTCCCCTGGGGCCTGGCCAGCCCAGCAGCTGTCCTGGGCCTGAGGCCTTGGAGGTGGACGCTGGCCTGCTGTGCTCACCACCTCAGGGAAATGCAGCCCCGGCCCCTGTCTCCGGCCATGAGGTGTTTCCAGGAGGAACATGTCCCCCAGTCCCTCCAGTGTGTGGCTTCTTGGGGACCTCTGTGTCTGGGAGGAGGGGAGCAGAGGAAACAGCCAGAGTCCTTCCCAGGGCCTGCACCCTGCTGGGCCCTGGCCTGGAGGGGGGTGTGGGCACGCCACCGGTGGGTCTGGAAGCTCTGAGACAGCCCAGCACTGGAGTGTCCATGTGTCTGTCCCTCCTGGCTGGGCAGCACTGCCTTTCCAGCCACCTCCTCCAGCCAGCCTCACCCAGGAGCCCCTGGAGTTGGCTCAGGCCCCTACAAGGGCATCTGAAGAGAGGAGCACCTGGCAGTCCTTGTGGGGGCGGGGGCTCAGGGCTGTCTCCGCCCGCATAGCTTGGCCCCGTCACCTTGGTGGAATGTCACCTGTGGGCTGGAGCGAGTTGAGCCACCAGCTGCCTGCTGGGGAGATGTCTCTGCAGCCTCCACCCGGTGCCCTGCCCACCCCCACCCTTGCGTCTTCGCCTGTTCAGGGAAGTCTGTGGGTGAGAAACCGCCCCCTACCCCAAGCCAGGGCGTCTCCCCTGGGTCCCTGCTCCGGCTGGGCACACCCGCACTGTGGGGCAGGCCCTAACGCCCCCTGCCGGGGAGTCCTGGACCCCCCCCACCCCAAAACTCTCACCAGGGCCTCCCTGGGTGGGCAGGGTGGGGTGGGGCTGGGCCTGCCCGCTGGGGCCACCTGCCTCCAGCGGGAGACAGTTCCTCCCAGGATCCCAGGCCCGGGGGAGGCAGGGAGGTGTAGGCCTTTGAGATGGTGAAACCCTGACCAGAACCCGCGCACCGGCCTGCCCGGCCCCACCCCTCCCTGGCACAGGGTGGCACCCGGTGCTCTTTGCATAATCCTGTGGCTTCTCTATCTTTCCCCCTCCGCGGCGGAGCGGCCACCATGGCGACACTGCTCTCCCACCTCCAGCGGCGCCCTCCCCTCGTGCGCCAGGCCATCAAGATAAGGCGGCGCAGGGTCAGAGACCTGCAGGATCCGCCCGCCCACAGCACTCAGGAGGTAGGGGTGACCTCGGGGAGGAGGCAAGTGGCCAGGGTGGGGCTCTGCGGTCTCTGGGCGCGGGACTCCTCCTCTCGCGGGCTGTGGTTGAGTATGCGGTCCCCTTCCCTGCCTGTCGCGGCTGCCGGGCAGGGCCTTCTGGGTTGGCCTGCCGGGGTCTGCCGTGTGTTCTCTGGGCCATCCTGGGCCTCGGGTCTGTGGTCGCAGCCTCTCTGAGTCCCCTCCCTCTGGAGGAGCCACCCGCCCGCCCTAGCCTCCGGTCTTCCCGCTCTAAAGACACCTGCACCACTAGACAGGGGGTGACCTTGCTGTGGGCCAGGCGGCTTGGGGATCCGCTGAGCGGTCCCCAGGCCTGCCTGGCATGACCCTCGGTCTCCCACCTCCACTGCTGGGCCTCACTTCCGCCGCTCGGGTGTGGAGCGTGGCCGCCCGATAAGCAGAGCTGCTTCCTCTGGGGAAGGAAGGGGCCACGGGTGCAGAGAGCTCACGCTGTCGGGGCCGCTGAGCGCCAATGGACCTCAGCCACGGCAGGCCAGGGGACAAGGAGGGTGGCCCAGGGGCTAGACTCGCAGGAGGCCTGCTGTGGGAACAGGTGTGCAGCGCTGGTGGGTTGGAGGCAGGGAGCTAGGGACCCCGCAGCCCCGGCCTGGCCTGGCCTACCCTGGGAGGAGCAGTTGCTGCTGTCTGAGCCCTGGTCCAAGCCTCCGGGCCACCTTGTCTCTTCACCTTGCTCCCCAGATCGAGCCTCCATCCCACCACCTGTCCCCTGAGGAGGTAAGAATCGGAGTGTTGGGGAGGCAGGGAGGTGCTGGGAACACAGTCCCTGGGTACTGGCTAAAGCAGGTGGCCACATGGCAGGGGTGGGTGCAGTGGGCACTTCTGGGCCTTAACCCCCCACGCCCGTGCACTGTGGGCGCCTTGTCCCAGCTTTGGCTGTGCCGTGTTGGTGCCAGGACGGGCTGGGGGGCGGGGGCTCACCTTGCAATGGGCGACCGGGGATTCCTGAGGTGACCCTGCCGTGTGTCAGCGGGCCCTGCTCTACGAGGAAGCTCTCTACACCGTCCTGCACCGCCTGGGGCAGCCTGAGCCCAGCCATGTGCGCGAGGCCTCGGAGCTCCTGTTGTACCTGCAGGAGGTGAGTGCGTCCCGCCGTGCCCGCCGACCTGCGGCCCCCATCCGGGAGTCCTCTCTCCCCTGCCCTGTGCCCTCAGCCTCCCACGCTCCTGCCCTACCAGGCCTTCCACATGGAGCCCGAGGAGCACCGGCAGATGCTACAGCGCGTCCAGAAGCTTGAGGTAATCCTGGTCCAGGACCAGCCTGGGACAGCGGCTGGGAAGCCCAGCTCCCTCTGGGACTCAGGCTCACCCTTCTGTCCTTCTAGAAGCCAATATTTTGTCTGAAGGCAACCGTGAAACAAGCCAAGGGCATTCTGGGCAAAGATGTCAGTGGTGAGCGGGCGGGGAGGGACCCTGAGGGCCCCCTTCCCAGCCCCTCCTCCTCCCCAGCGGTCTGTCCCAGAATCCAGCTGGCACTTCCCAGTTCCCAGATATCCCCTGGGCGCTGTTGGCCCCAGGGCCTTTGAATCTGGGATGGGGAGGGACTCTACCCGTGGATTGGGGTGATGAGGGCGTCTCCCGGGGAGCCCTGCCGACACCCAAGTGGCCTTGTCCTCCCCCTCCTCGCCAGGATTCAGTGACCCCTACTGCCTGCTGGGCATTGAGCAGGGGGTGAGCGTTCAGGGGGGCAGCCCTGGGTCCCGGCGTCGGCAGAAGGCTGTGGTGAGGCACACCATCCCAGAGGAGCAGACCCACCGCACCCAGGTCATCGAGCAGACCCTCAACCCTGTGTGGGAAGAGACTTTCATCCTGTGCGTGGCCCTGCGCCAGCCCCTGTCCCCTCAGGGCGAGCAGCAGTACTTCCCGGCTCGGGGGCGGGGGCTTGGCTTGATTGGAGGCGGGGCCTGCTCTCTAGGCCAGAGACAGACCAGTGTGCTGGGAGGGTGTGGAGGGTTGGGCCCCGCTGGGTTGATCTTGGGGCCAGGCCAAGCCTTACCTTAGGGGAGGGAGGAGGAGTTTGCAAGGAGGGGCTCAAAGGGGACGGTGGATAAGTGGGGGGTGGGAGCTTCCCAGGACAGGCTCTGGTGGGGTCCGGCCCTCCAAGGCCCTCAGCCTGGTCCTTTTCTCCCCATAGGGAGTTTGAGGACATAAGCAGTTCAAGCTTCCATCTGGACATGTGGTGAGGGGCCTACCCTGCCCGTAGGGGTCCGGGAGAAAAGGGGGGGCATTCAGGGTGGCAAGACCTTCTCCCAAAGAGGTCAAGGGCTCCCGGGACAGCCTCTCTGTCTCCTGCTCACACCTTGGCCCCCGCAGGGACATGGACACGGTGGAGTCCGTCAGACAGAAGCTCGGGGAGCTCACAGATCTGCATGGGCTGCGAAGGTGAAGGCCTCGGGAAGAGGTTCCTGGGGGAAGGAGTGTGGGCTTTTTCTGCCCTCCCTGTGTGTGCACATCGGTTGCTGGGCTACAGGCTGTGTCCAGGCCCAGGGGGCCACAGGAGGGGGACACATCCCTGCCAGACACCTCAGTGTCTTGGCCCACCCCTCTCATGGCCCCTGCCTGGAACAGGATCTTCAAGGAGGTGCGGAAGGACAAAGGCCAGGACGATTTTCTGGGGAACGTCGTCGTGAGGCTACAGGTGAGTCAGGTCAGGAAATAGGGTTTTGGGGGAGGGACTCTGGAGCCACACCAAGCATGGGCCTGGGCCGCTCCCGCCTGTCTGGCCCCCCAGGACCTGCGCTGCCGAGAGGACCACTGGTACCCTCTAGAGCCCTGCACCGAGACCTACCCGGACCGCGGCCAGTGCCACCTCCAGTTCCAGCTCATTCACAAGCGGGTAGGTCTGGGGCCAGGAGCAGGGCTTCTTCCAGTGGCCCGTCCGGGTTGGGCAGGCTGCCCCCGGGGACAGGGTCCTCTCCTCACGGCCACGCCGGCCCCGTTGCAGAGAGCTCCGGCAGCCAGCCGCTCCCAGCCCAGCTACACGGTGCACCTGCACCTGCTCCAGCAGCTGGTGTCCCATGAGGTCACCCAGCACCAGGTACTGCCCTCCCTGTGCTGGGGGGGATGGGGTGCGGGGCATGCTGGCCAGGTCCTGACACCCTGCTACCCTGTGCCCTCAGGCAGGCAGCACCTCCTGGGACGGGTCGCTGAGTCCCCAGGCTGCCACCATCCTCTTTCTCCACGCGACACAGAAGGACCTTTCTGACTTCCACCAGTCCATGGCGTGAGTGCACCAGCCTCTCCCTCCCTGCCTGTGCGCCTACAAACTGGCAGGCCGGAGTCTAACCCTTGCAAGATCTCTGTTTGGCCACAACCGTGTGTGTCAGGTTTTGAGTCCACTGCCTACTTTAAAAATCTAGAGGTTTTCCATACAGAGTCTCAGCTCCAGCTTTCTATGTACCCCAAGTGCCGTCGTCCTGCTGGGCTGCAAGAGGTCACAAATGGCAGAGCGCAGGGCCTCCCCAGCCCCTCACGGCTACCATTGGCCCGAGTCACTCCCTGACGCTCTCTGAGTCCCTTCTGGGCATTTGAATTTGCTGCCCCTGCCCCAGAGGTAGCCTTGTGCCGCAGCTCCAGCGTCTGGAGTCAACAGATTGGCATGCTGGCATTTCCAAATCCCTGGTGAGGGCCCGTCACGTCCCCTGGGCCCCCGTAGGTTGTGGGAAGGTGTTCGAGTGCAGGTGAGGTGTGCGGGGCCGGGGCCCACCAGGTGGGTGCAGCCTGGGGCCACCGTGGACACTTGGCATTTGAATAGGGGGTGAACGGAGGTGGGGACCAGGACAACCTGTAGGACCATGGGCAGGTCGGTATCCCCAGACAGTTGGGGAGCGATGCAAGTTTAATTTACATGTTTGAAAAGCACCTTCATGGGGGTTCCCCAGGAGGTCGGTGGGGGCGGGGCGTCTCCCTGTTCCCCCCCGCAAGCCCCCCTGCTGGCCGGCTGAGGGCTTCCCGTGTGCCGCAGGCAATGGCTGGCCTACAGCCGGCTCTACCAGAGCCTGGAGTTCCCGAGCAGCTGCCTCCTGCACCCCATCACCAGCATCGAGTACCAGTGGATCCAGGGCAGGCTCAAGGGAGAACAGGTGCGCCGCGCAGGGGGACGAGGAGCGTGGGGCAGGCAGGGCTGGGGGAGCCGGCTCCGGTGCGGGGCCCCCGGCTCAGCTCCCGACGCTCGGCCCACAGCTGGAGGAGCTGGCCGCCTCGTTCAGCAGCCTGCTGGCCTACGGCCTCTCCCTCATCCGCAAGTTCCGCTCTGTCTTCCCCCTGTCTGTGGCCGACTCCCCGGCCCGGCTGCAGTCTCTGCTCAGGTCAGTGGCTCCCCCTCCCGCTCCCTCAGTGGGGTCGGGAGCAAGGGGACCCCCCGGGGGGCGCCCGCTGCCTCTGTGGGTGGAAGGTCCCGGGCACAGCTGCCTGTCTCCACAGGGTCCTGGTACAGATGTGCAAGATGAAGGCCTTTGGAGAGCTATGCCCTGACAGCGCCCCTCTGCCCCGGCTGGTGACCGAGACGCTGAGGGTGCGGGCAGGGCTCACGCTGGGGACGAGGTGGGCATGGGCCTGAGCCTGGCAGCCCTCCCCACTCACCGCCTCTTTGCCCGCAGACTGGCACCACCGAGTGGTTCCACCTGAAGCAGCAGCACCATCAGCCCATGGTGCAGGTGGGGGGGGCTTGGGCAGGGCAGGAGGGGGCGGGCGGGGTGCTCAGGCCCTGTGGACCTGCTCAGCGCCCCTCTGTTCCCTGCCAGGGCTTGCTGGAGGCAGGCAAAGCCCTGCTGAGCCTGGTACAGGATGTCATCGGCGACCTACTCCAGTGCCGGCACACATGGAACAAGATCTTCCAGAAGTGAGCACATGGCTGGGTAGGGAGGTCTTGAGGCAGGGGCTCAGAATGGGGACCAGGAGGACCCCGGAGGTGCTCCCGGGTCACACCTGTGGCCTTCCTTGCAGCACACTCAAGGTCGACCTCTTCTCCATGGCTTTTGTGGAGCTGCAGTGGCTGGTGAGTCTCCCCCTGGGTCTCCAGGCTTTGCCCTCCACCCTGGCTCCGGAGCCCTGTCCCACTGCCTGCCCTTTGCAGGTGGCCAAGCGGGTGCAGGACCACACAGCAGCAGTGGCGGGCAGCCCCGTGTCCCCAGAGATGGGCGAGAGTCTATTCCAGCTCTATGTCAGCCTCAAGGAGCTCTACCAGCTGCGACCAGGCCCCACAGACAGGTAGGTGGGCAGCCGGCTGTTGGCACAAAAGAGAGGAGAAGGTCAAGGAGGGTCCGTGCTAGCCCCAGCTCTCCTTAGGGATGGAGTCCTGGCCCTGGATGGCTTTCACCGCTGGTTCCAGCCCGCAGTCCCCTCCTGGCTGCAGAAGACTTACAGCGTGGCCCTGGCGCGGGTGCAGCGCGCGGTGCAGATGGATGAGGTAGGCGCGGGGCCTGAGACGGGGGCCTGGCTGTGGGGTTTGGGGCTCTGCTGGGACCTCTAGGATGCGCAGAGTTGGTGACCAGCTCTTGAGGCCAGTTGTGTGACCCCGCTGCCTCCCGATACCCCTGGTTTTAACTGTGGCTTTCCCTTCCAGGCCGATCTTTGCAGCCGGGGTCTGGGTGGAGCCTGCCTGCCCCTTGTAGCCCCCCGCCCACCTGCTTGGTGGCGGTAGAGGCTCTGAGTGCCTGTGGAAGGAAGGAGGGAGGGAGGGGCCTGCATCTGGCCAGCCCTGAGCCCTCCTTTCTGCACCCCCAGCTGGTGCCCCTGGGTGAACTGATCAAACACAGCACATCTGCCGTGGACCTGTCCACCTGCTTCGCTCAGATCAGCCACACTGCCCGGCAGCTGGACTGGCCCGACCCAGAGGAGGCCTTCATGATCACCGTCAAGTTTGTGGAGGTGCAGCGGCTTCTCGCGTCCTTCCCCATCTTCCTAGGACAGCCTCGTTTGACGCGCCCTGATTTCTCCCAGGCTCCTGCCCTAGCAGCCTCCGAGGGGCTAAGTCTTAAATCCCCAAGTCACTGAGACTTCTGTGCCTCCCCGCACTGGGGCCCTCCAGACGCCCCCCGCACTGATTGTCTTCTCCCCACCCCAGGATACCTGTCGGCTGGCTCTGGTATACTGCAGCCTTATAAAGGCCCGGGCCCGTGAGCTCTCTGCAGGCCAGAAGGACCAGAGCCAGGCAGCCGACATGGTAAGGACCAGAGCCGGGTGTCGGGCCGGGGGTGCGGGTGGGGACGGCCGGTCCCGGCAAGCTCAGGATCCCTGCGTGCCTGCCCTCAGCTGTGCGTGGTGGTGAATGACATGGAGCAGCTGCGGCTGGTGATCGGCAAGCTGCCCGCCCAGCTGGCCTGGGAGGCCCTGGAACAGCGCGTCGGGGCCGTGCTGGAGCAGGGCCAGCTGCAGAACACGCTGCACGCCCAGCTGCAGGGCGCGCTGGCCGGGCTGGGCCACGAGATCCGCACCGGCGTCCGCACCCTGGCGCAGCAGGTAATCTGTCCCCCTCGCAGGGACCCCACCCTGCCCATCCTCGGCCTCCTCGGCCTGAAGCACCCCCAGCAGGACTTGCCACCCCTTCCTGAACCGAAACTCAGGCTCCCAGTGACCTCTCCCTTTCCCCCGTGCTCACGCCCCAGCCTCCCTCCTGCTGTTTTGTGTCCCCAGCTGGAGGTGGGCATCGCCACGCACATCCAGAAACTCGTGGGCGTCAAGGAGTCTGTCCTGCCTGAGGATGTGAGTGGCCCTCCCCGCTCACGGTTGCCAAAGGGGCTTAGGGTGGTAGGGGCAGAAGGCCTTGGGTGTCAGAGATGAGTCCCCCAGACTCGGGCAGGAAATGTTCCCTCCTGGGCCTCGGTTTCCTCCTTGGATGCTAAGGGGCCAGGGGTGGGTCATTCTGCGGGCTGTCCCCGAATCCGCCTGGGGACCGCAGGCGGGGCGGGCTAGCCTCGCAGCCGAACTGATGTGGGTGTGCAGCCTTCTGAGTTCCCTGTTTCCGCGAGCCCGCCGACTCCGGCGTGCTCACCTGTCCGGGGGCAGAGAGAGTGATGCCACCTTCGTTGTCTGAGAGAAGGTCACTCCGTAATTCAGCAACGCTCTAAGCGCTCTGTCACCAGCGTAGATTTAGGCGCGGAGGTGTGGATCGGGGAGGAAAAGTGACCAAACTCCCGCCTTCCCGGAGCTCACATCCTGCCAGGGGAGGTGGAGGAGCCAGACCATAGCTGTGCCTAGAATTACACGAGTGTGTGTGTGCAGTGACACGTTAGTAAGTACCGGAGAAAATGAAGATTTGTATTCATATTTGTGCTTTTTTTAAAAGATATTTTTAGACAGTGGTAGAGAAGGCCTTACTCAGAGGGCGACAGCTGAGTCAGGACCTCGAGGAAGCGAGAGAAGGATCCCTGAGGGTTTCTAGGGGAGGGCACGGCCAGGCCCTGTGGCAGGACAGTGCACGGGCCGCTGGAGGGCCCTGGAGGAGGTGGGGGAGGCCGGAGCCCCCCGCGGGCAGGGCTCCCTCAGCTCTGGCACACGTTCTGAATGAAGCAGGCGAAAGCTCCTGGCCCTGTTTCCTCTTCCGAGTCAGAGCATGGGCATGGGCCAGAGCCAGACTTGCCGCCCACCCCTCTCCCCAGGCCATTCTGCCCCTGATGAAGTTTCTGGAAGTGAAGCTCTGCTACATGAACACCAACTTGGTGCAGGAGAACTTCAGCAGGTGTGCGGCGGCCTCCCGATCCGTGCCCCCCGCCCTGCCCCTCTTCCCTGGCCTCAGCCATTTTCAGGGGAGGATGCAACCAGCCTCTGCTTAAGTGCTCACTCCTAGAGACAGGGAGCTCACTACTTCACCCACCTGCCCATTTCCCTTTAGGCTGAGCAGAAAGCTGCCTGCCCTTTCTCCCTTAGCCCTGGGCTTTCTGTCCTTCCTAACATTACAGGCAACTGGTGTCTCTCCCAGGATCCAGGGGAACTTCTCGTTGGGGTCGCTCTTAAAGCAGGGGTCCGGCACACCAGGCAGCAGGACTAGAGGTCAAGGACGTGGGCTCTGGCCCACCTGGATTCAGACTCTAGTTCTGCTGCTGCTGGGTGGGTGCGTTGAGTGGATTACTCAAGTTTTCCATGCCGATGGTCACAGTTCTGGCCTCTAGTGAGGATCAAGTGAGTCACATGGGGTCCCAAGAGCAGCCCCTGTGCAAAGGAAGTGGTCGGTGCTGAGCTGCCTGACGATGACCGTGGGTCCTCCCCACAGGAACTGGGCTCTGAGGCTGCTGCCCCTCCCCCCGGAGGTCCACTCCCGGTGGCTCGGGGGGCCCAGGGAGCCCACTGTGGTTATTTCTCGGGCCACAGTATGCCAAGTGTTCAGCTGAAACAGTTAAATCTCCACCGCAGGGACTTGACTCACTACAGTGTCAAAAGCAGTTAGAACACTGGTGCACAGGAAGCACGGGAATCGCGAATACACTCAGTCCGTTACCTGCCGTGAACGCGACCTTCCCCACTCTTAATGATGCAACCCCATTTTTGCTTTTTGTTCTGAACCATGTGACTCTCCTTTGACATGTGGTTTCCGTTATTTCAGGTAGTTAGCAGGACTGTGGCTTGGTTGCTACTTTTTTCTTCCCAAGGGGTAGTAGATGCTAATCTGGGTCGACATCCTATTCATTCTGGCCACTCCCATATTGAATCATCATTCTGTCATTGAGGGACCGGCCTCCCCGCCCCACCTTCTTGTTGGGGTTTGATAATCCTACTGAGGAAGGTTCTTTGCTAGGTTGTGAAGCATGTTGGTTGGGACTGGCCCCATCTGTCCCCCTTCCCCCCCCCCCCCGCTCCCCTGCACTTGTCCTCCTTCCCTCAGGAGACCAGCCCTCCCTCCCTCTACTCCTGCCTGCTGCCCTGGTCCCCGCCTTACCTGAGAAGCAAGTGGAAGTGGGAGCGTGGGCTGGGGAAGAGCTCGGGGTGGGCCTGGGTCCCTTTCTCAAGAGTGTCTCTGCTTCCTCCTCTTCCATCCTCCTGGGCTGGACGGGTGTCCCTCTGCACCTCCCCCCCAGTCTCCTGACCCTGCTCTGGACCCACACGCTCACCGTGCTCATGGAGGCGGCTGCCTCCCAGCGGAGCTGCCGCCTGGCCTCCAGCAGGCTGAAGATTGCGCTGCAGGTAAGAACAGCCGGGCCAACAAGTGATAACGGGGCTGGAGACAAGTGATAATCCTGGTGAGGTCACCTCTGCCGTCTCACCCCTAGAATCTGGAGATCTGCTTCTACGCAGAGGGCTGTGGCCTGCCACCCGCGGCGCTGCACACAGCCGACTTCCAGGTAGGGGGCTTTTGGTGAGCTGGCGGGGTAGGGGGAACCTGCCTTTCTGTGCTCACCTGTGTCCAGTACCAGCTGCATAATTTACAGGGCCGGCACAGAAAAAAAATGTGGGCCCCTTTTTCCAAAAATTACTAAGAATTGAAAGACAGCAACAACAGAGCATTCAACCAAGCAGAAGGCTCTTTAAACTCGGTGACGGGGCGGCTGTGCAACTGTGTGGGGGGCACAGCCGTGAAGCCCACCCTGTCTGTGCCCCGGCTGTCCCCCGGGGCCACCCCCAGGGTGCGTTCCCCAGCCGAGGCTCCCCGACAGCCGGAGCTTTGCTATCACATCGCTGCCCGCACCGGACGGGGGTGACTGGGGCAGCTCAGGGGGCTTCTCAGCGGCGCCTCGTTCCCAGGCTCTGCAGAGGGACCTGGAGCTGCAGGCGGCTTCCAGTCGGGAGCTCATCCGGAAGTACTTCTGCAGCCGCATCCAGCGCCAGGTGAGACTCTTTCCCTCCGCGCCGCCCCCGGCGCACCTGCAGCCCCGCCTCCCCTGCCCTCGGCCCCACACTGCCCCCGCGCTCCACCCCTAGGCGGAAACCACTTCTGAGGAGCTGGGGGCGGTCACAGTCAAGGCTTCCTACCGCGCCTCTGAGCAGAAGCTGCGTGTGGAGCTGCTCAGCGCCTCCAGCCTGCTGCCCCTGGACTCCAATGGTGAGTGCAGGCTGCCCACCGGCTTCTCTCCGCGTCCTCACTCTGTACCCCACAACGTCCCCCCGCGTCCCTGGCTGTTCCGCTCTCCCGGGAGGGAGCGCTGGGTGCACTTCCTTCGTGCTACCAGGAGGGGGCAGTGCTGCTGAGCAGGGCACAGCGGCAGGAGCCGGGATATCCTTGGCAACGTCACCTCCCCGGGTGACCTCCGCACTTGCCAGGCTCCAGCGACCCCTTTGTCCAGCTGACCTTGGAGCCCAGGCACGAGTTCCCAGAGCTGGCCCCCCGGGAGACCCAAAAGCACAAGAAGGACCTTCACCCCCTGTTTGATGAGACCTTTGAATTGTGAGTGGGTTCCCCTGCTTGCCACCCTTCCCCAGCCCTGGACTTCCCTCAGCCCTGCTCCTGCCACCTGAGGCCGGTTCTGAAACGAACGCATTTGGGTCCCAGGGAGGGGCAACTGGAACAGGGGTTTGCTGGGACCCTGCGAGGAGGAGTGGGACTGCAGAGGAGAAGGCCCCCCCCCCCACCACCACCTGTTGGACTTAGAGGCTTGCTTCCAGGAAATGGTCCTGCTCCTGAGGTGCTCTGTTCCCCAAGACAGGAGGGTCCGGGGAACACGGGCCCCTGGTTTAAAGTCCCAGCCCGCAGAGGAGGTGTCCGTCAGAGCACACGCCAGGCTGAGAAACGCTTTTGCCATCCTAATCCCCATCCGTCTGCCCTCAGCCCTGGCCTGTCCTCAAGAACCAGTGATGAACGGTGTGTGGGGGTGGGTGCCAGTGACCACGTAGGGGGCAGGCCGCTGAGCCCGACTCTCTCCCCCACTCAGCCTGGTGCCTGCTGAGCCATGCCTGAAGGACGGAGCTTGCCTCCTGCTAACGGTGCTGGACCATGACACGCTGGGGGCTGATGACTTGGAAGGGGAGGCCTTTCTGCCACTACGCTCGGTGCCAGGCCTGACCGGGACTGAGGAGCCTGGCGAGGTGCCTCAGATCCGCCTGCCCCTCACCTACCCTGCACTCAACGGTAGGCCTGAGCCCCAGGGCAGAGGCTGTGGGGGCTTCGGGTGCAGGGCCTGGCCCAGCACTGGGGGTGCAGGGGAGGGGCACCCCGTGAAAGGCAGTGGCCCCAAGGGAAGCGAATGAAGTTGGGGTCAGAGGAACCCCTCCTTGGATGTGGAAGCCAGTGGAGTCAGCGTGGTGTCTCGTGTTGCTGAGTGGCTCTCTCGGTCTGATCAGGAGAGCAGTGAAATCTGGGAGGCCACGTGCTGTGTGACTCTGCAGTGTGGGGGGAGGTCACCGGGAAGTCTACCTGGGGAGGGAGGCTGCGTCTCCGACGGGGGCGCACAGGCCAGGCGTTCTCCAGGCTGGACAGTAAACAGGTGACACGTCTGAGCACTTACTACGGGCCATCTGTGAGCAGTGCTGCAGCCGCCTCGTGTGTCAGCTGCTAGTACGGCTATTTTACAGACGGGTAAACTGAGGCACAGACAGGTTAACTAGCTCGCCTGCGGTTCTAACAGTTGGACCCCGAGGCGCACCTCACTTGGCCTCTTCCAGTGCACGTCGGGTCGGAGTGTCGGTGCCAGCGCCGTCATGCGTCTCGCCTTCTCCGTCAGGCTGTCTTGTGAGCTTGGCTGGTGTTTCCTGGTTTCCAGGTTTCCTGGTTTCCAGGATGGCTGGAGAATGGGTCCATGCTATGTCCCCTGCCACTACCCAGGCCCTGCCTCCCCCTGCCGCAGTCTGACGCCCAAACGCCTCTCTCCACAGGGGACCCCATCCTGCAGCTGCTGGAGAGCCGGAAGGGCGACCGGGAGGCCCAGGTGTTCGTGAGGCTGCGGCGGCAGCGGGCCAAGCAGGCCTCCCAGCACGCCCCAAGGCCAGGGCAGTAGCGGTGGAGGTTAGGGATGGGGCTGGGTGCCCAGCAGGGGCCCGCTTTCCTGAAAGGTCTGGGCTCTCCCCACCATAGTGCCAGCCCCCCAGCCTGGCCGAATGCTCCAGAAGGGCCCTGCAAGGCTGGGGAACCCCAGCGGGAAGATCCCCTCTGGTCCTTCTGCCAGAGCAGGGGCCCGCGGAGCTGGTGCCCGGACCCTGTTAGTATTTATATTCCCTCCTTCCTGCCCTGAGGCCGCCTTCAGCAGCGGCCTCCGCCTTCCCTACCAGAGGTCAGCGCCAGGGGGCGGGGCAGCGGTCTGAGGCCCCTGTGGGAGACGCTGCTCTGGGCTCCGGCAGAGCCGGCTCAGCCCCCAGCTTCTGGCAGGCCCGTTCCAGTCACCGGGGTGGAGGTTAGGCTCCCTTGGGCCCATTCTTTAGCGCCCTGCCTTGGTTCACTGGGGCTAGGGCTACGGCACAAAGCCTCCTGGGGAGACCCTGCCAGAGACGAGGCTACAGCTGCCCTGGTGGGTAGGGCGGTGGCTGTAATGAGGGGAGCCTTGGTCCTCTTCTGAGGTGGCTGCCAGTGCCCAGGCCGGGGAGCCTTGAGCCAAGGACCTTCTGGCTCTCAGAGGTGAAGGCTGGCAGGCAGTGGGGTTGGCAAGGAGCAGCAGAAGCGGAAAAGACAGCTTGGCCAGCCGGGTCTACTGAGGACACCTCCTCCCTGGGACAGTACCTGCCCCTTAGGGACTTTCTTAGCAAAAATAAAAGAAGAAAAAAACAATCCATTGTCCTCTAAGGAACTATACTGTCGGCCTGCATTGGGGCCTAGAAGATTATAGTCAGGGCATGCAAACCCCCTCCTCAGCCGTCAGAAGACCTTGAGCTGCCCCTGACCTGGGGCCTGGCCCACCCCTCCCTCCCCCATGTTCTAGAGCAGGCGTGGGAGTAAGTGATGCACAAGCAGGACTGCACACAAAACATGACTAGGCATGTCAGTTTGTGGGTGCTACCCGGCACTCCGAGGGGAGCACTGGGAGTCGGGGGAGGGGGCTCTCCCACGAGTGGAGGCTGAGTGGCTATTTGAGGGCTTAGAGGAGCAGGGTCCTAGGCCAGGCTGGGACCTAGTCCAGGTGGACCCTGTATTGGTAGTCAGAGCCCAAGGCCAGGTTGTCATTCTAGCTGTGCGACCCTGTTTGAGTCCCTTAACCTTTGTACGATGTGGGCTGGACATCAGATGAGATTATCTTCAAGACTCCTTCCGCTCTGAACCTGAGCCCCGCACAGAGCCCAGTGGGCGCATGTTCTCACAGCCACCGGCTAGGCCAGCTCTGAGCAGGGGAAGCAGGTGGCTCAAAGGCGGAGACCCTCCTCCTCCTGCTGCTTGTGAGAAAGCAGTATGTGTCTGCTTCTCCGGGAGACGAGGGTCCTGTCGTCTCCCGCCAAACAGGCATCAGGTTCCAGCCGATAGTGGGTCCCAAGCCTAGGAAGTCCCCAGGACTAAAGGTCTCCCAGCTCATTTGCACCAGCAGGCCTGGGTGGGAGGCCACTTGAGCTCTGTCCAGGGGCCTGGAGCCACCTGGGGGCTTGAAGGTGGCGGCAGCTGCCTAGCCACACCTTGGGTAGAGGCCTGAGCTCTTCCGTGGCCCCGCTGGGGCTGACGCGGGGCTGAGGGGGCCACGCTAATTCATCAGAGGCTCTTATTTGGGGCCCTACTCTCCCTCACCCCCATGTAAACAAGCTACGGCTGTAAGTTCATATTTTATTTCCAATAGGTTTGGAGCTTTGTTGATTTTTGAATTTTTGTAAAAAAAGTTTTCACTTAATTCATTGAAAGCCCTTTCGTGCTGAGCCCAAGGGGGAGCCTGGGCCAGGCCAGACCCTTCACAGCCCTCTTGCTCCCACCCCAGACCCCGAGCGCTGGGACAAGGGCGGCTTCCCTCCGCCCGCTCTGCCCCTCCCGCCGCCGCTGCATCTTCTGTACAGAACAATTTTTAAAATGGAAGCTAAGACACAATATACATTGGACAGGCACGCACACACACGTATACAGGCGTCTGCTCCAAACGGGCAGGACGTCAGCTGCACTCAAGAGAGCACCAAGGAATGCATACGGAGCCCCTCCCGGTGAGGAGGGCAGGGCCTAAGCCCCACCTTGGTCCCCAGTCCGCAGCTCCTTCCCACCATTTGCCCCGCTAGCTGCCCCCCGGGGGGGGGGGGGGGAGGGCGGCACGCTGACAGCAGCTAGAGGGTTATGAAGAGGGCAGTGCCAGTCTGGTAAGGGGTCCTGGGGCCAGGGAGGCTGCTCTGGGGGCCCGGAGGGAGAGAACTGAGGTGGACTCCCGGCCTCAGGAACCTGAGGGGTAGAACTCCCGGGCCTTGCCCCTCAAGGAGCTTCAAGGGCCCAGGGATGGGAGCGGGGCTGGCCCCTGCAGCTCTGGCCTGCTAACCCCAGACTAAATACACATTTGGTAACCTAGGAGCTAGGCTGGCTTGGACCCCAGCACACCCCCCTTCTCAAGCCTCGTGGCTGGGAACCAGGACCCCGGCTCTGGTCATGGCCTGGGGAGGTGCAGTGACCAGGGCCTGCCCTGAAGGCCTGGTTCCTCCCCTTGGCCCCTTTCAGCTTCCTGCTCGGGCCCCAGGAAAAAGTTAAAACTAGTTAGTTTTCCTACATTAAAAAGAGACAGAAACATATCCCCTGCCAAAAAGCCGGTGGGCAATGAGGGGACTTTGTCTCTGCAGTGGAAAAGGAGAGAGTGGGCAAGGGCAGGGCTGCAAAATAGTTTTTTCTTTTAAAAAGTGCTTGGTAAGTCTGTTTTAAAGTGTGTGTCTATATCTATGTACAGATATACACACAGACACTGTTCACACACTGCTGCCCACGCGTACCCGCACACGCACAGAAATGTATACATATAATCATATACATATACATACATACATACATACATACATATATATATATACTTTAAAAAGTCCTAGATAAGATCTGAGCCGGGCCGGGGCCAGGCCTGCAGGGTCACGACTGGAGGGTGTGGGCCCGGCTGGGCTGGCAGACGGGGCAGTCGCTGCCCTCGGCACAGAGCTCGCACAGCACGGCGTGTTGGCACGGCAGCACCGCTCGGTTCTGCTCCTGACACTTAAGGCATTTCACCGACTGCATGTGGAACACGGCCTGGGGAGGGAGAGGGATACGGTGTTCACTGGCCGGTCTCCGCATTCACTTCAGCCCCCTTGGGTCAAGGATACCAAGGCACAGAGCTCAGCAGCACGCTCGCAGGCCTCAGCCAGCAAGCCAGAGAGAAGAGCTGGAGTTCAGGGTGCTGCCCTCAAGGCTCCCAAAGTCTGCTCCCAGCCCCCTGGGGAGGGGGGAGGCCCAGGGCTGCTCCACAGCTCCTGCCCCGACAGGCTCTTCCTCCCACAACGCCTCTGCAGCGACCCTCAGCCCCGACATGAGAACAGTGAGGCCTGGCTACAAATGCCCAGAGAAGGAAAGAATGTGCTTTTCTGCTGTGCCATGCTCCCTGGGCATCCAGCTGGGCACCTAGGAATGCAAAGCAGCCCTGGGGACCTAACGGTTCTGGAACGTGTGCTGGTATGTGCAGAGCTCACGGGAGGAGAAGCAGCTTGATGCCTCTGAAGGCCCAGGCCTAGTGATGTGTCCTGGTTCAGCACGGCCCAGAACTGCGGGGTGGGGCGGGCACGGCTACGTCTCCACCTCCACCTTTCTCACCTCCCCCAGAAGGGACACTTCCTCCCCTCCAGGGCAGCATCCTGGGTCGGCCCAGCAGGTGGGCAGAGGCTCTCAGAAGGAAGAACCATGGACCCATCAGAGTCCAAGTCCTGAGGCTACTGTATGCCCCACCCAGCGCTCCCCTAACCTCCTGGGCTGACCTTGTCCACTTGTTCCAGGTGGGCCCGCAGCTGCTTCTGGAGGGAGTAGAGGGTGGAGAGCGAGAGGGCCTCCAGGTCAGAGAAGGTGGGCAAGGCCTGCGGGTCGGGGCCCGAGTGCAGCCGCTCCAGCTCTTCCTGCAGCTTCTTAACCTGCCCCTCCAGTGCATCCCGCTGCTCCCGGGCCAGCTCGCACTCGGCACCTGCTGCACTGGCCCGCTCACCGGCCTCCTCTGCCTCCTTCTTCCAGGCATCACAAGCCTGTGGGCCCAACACACAGCGCCTCATCATGATGGCCCCCTGCCCCCGTGTCCCCTGCAAGCACCTCTCTGGGAGCCCGCATGGGCCACTTGTGGCTGCAGGGCCTGCTGGGGAGGGAGGAGGCGGGCACTGCCTGCAGAGGAGAGAGATGTCAGGGCCTGCGAGAGACCCTCTGTAGGCAGGGAAGGGGGCTGAGCCCAACGCAGCAGGGGAGCACTAGGCAGATCTGGGGATGCCGCAGATGGACGGAGGAACCATCTTAGGATCTAGAACCTTGGACCTGGAGCCCTGGAAAGTTAGGGCTTCTGGGGAGAGGTCAGCAGTGCTGTGGCACCAAACCAAGTAACTCACAGTGGGAATTCCGGGCCTGGGACACCAGCCGCCCCAGGGTCCTGATTGGCAGGGTAAGTGTTTCCACAGGAGCAAAGAGGGAATACAACGGAGTTTCTGCCGCCCTCCCACCCCTGCGCCTGCTCTAGGATGGGCTCGGGCTGGATGCCAGCCGGCCCCGGGAAGGCGAGTGGGCGTGGGAGCCCAGTACCTGCTTAGCCTGCTTCCAGGACTCCTCCCACTGCTTGATGGTGCCATTGGCTTCTTCGAGCTCTTGCCGCAGCCGGGCCAGCTCAGCAGCCCCTGGCCCCGACAGGAAGGCCGGGGAAGTGCCTGGGGAGAAGCTACCAGAGGCAAAATGCTCCCAGATGCTGCTATTCATCCCGTTGAGACCTGCCTCAGGAAAGGGAGGAACATTAGAGCCCGGAGGGTTTCAGGCCTGAGCCCAGGCCCTGGTCCTGTCCAACCCTGTCTGGGAAGCTTCAAGGGGCGAGCTGTGCAAGGCCTCAGCAATGTCAGGCTGGGGAGCGTCACAGGAGTGTGCGGGGCTCACGGTCCCATCAGACCTACTTGAGTACCACCTGCTACTCCAAGTCTGGCACTTAACTTCGGAGGCTTGGCATCCTCAGCATTTGCCTCGCAGGGTGTACAGGGGACTTGGAAGTGCTGCAGGGAGAGTAGCTGTAAAGGTGGCAATCTAACTGTGAACGGACTCGGCTAGAGGGGGGGGGAGCCTTCTTGCACCTTCTGTAAGGCTTGGGAGGAGTTCAGGGGCAAAAATGCA